ACAAGAAAAAAAAAGAAGAGTGCCGGATATTACCTCAAACGAGCATGTCACATCGCACACCAGTCACTACCATCCGATGGCTAGGGATCAATGATCAACCTTCAATCTCAACTGAGGCTTTCCTTGAGAGATAGAGAGAAATTCTAAGTGGGGCGTATCCCTTTGTGGGATATGAGAGAGAAAGATGGAAATTAGGTACAAGAGATAAGGTGTAGAGATAGAGAAATTCTAAGTGGGTATGCCCGTTGGTGGGATATGAGAGAGAAAGATGGGAATTAGGTACAAGAGATAAGGTGTAGAGATTTTTGGGTAGAGACAATCTCTTTTTATAGGCTTTAAATAAGATTAGGGTTTTTTAGGGTTTTCCTGGCTTGCCTCTTCATATTGAATATGAACTATTGATCTTTGGTGACTTGTGGGATGAGAGATTTAAGCCATCCATTCAATAGATGTGTCATCAACATTATGGAAGGTGCATGAATCATTATCCCCCTTTCCTAAATCATTTTTTCATTAATAGAAATTAAATAAATTAAATCTAATTAAAATATTACGTATACCATAAAATAACACAAGTCAATCTTTCCACAAAATCTTTCAAAGATATATCAAGTCAATATCTTCCAACCATATGGCCACATGCCATATCACCAAAAAATAAGAAAGAGAATAAGGGTGGGGCGTGGCACTCATGGGCCCCACCTTCTAGAAATATGGTGGGCCTATGTGCACAATGGGCTCTCATGATATTTTTATACATTAAAAATTAATAAAATGATTTCACAATATTATTTGAATATTTAAACCATTGTAAAATCAATATCTTTAATTTTATAAATCTAAAAATTATAAATAAAATTTCAGGGGTTCATAAAAATTCAAATAATAATCCTAAAATAATTTCCATATAAAACAAACACAATTAAATTAACTTGATAGGAAAAAGATCTATATGGTTTAGGAATCATCAATCATGGGGCACTCCACCTTCAACTGTGGACTACAGACCACACTTGCTTTATTAGACCGACCCAATATTTCCCATGACCCACAGTCCAAGCAGGGGCTCATTAGCGAGTCATCAAAGTCAGGCCGATGAGCCAAAGGGTCGCAATCCCAGTCTGTGAATTTCAGGTCCTTCCCTAGAGACGAGTCAAGGTCACCTTGAGTACGCTTCACCTTAAAATGTGGATTTCTGGCTTTTTCGAACTATCTATCGATATGCATACCGTATGATGGCACATGGATGAGGCTTTGACCCCCGTCTCTGTAGACCATCATCAAACACAAGGGTCACAAAACCCCTCGGCTCACTCATCCAGGCATATTCTCCGACCTCATCAAGGGCTAACCCATTAGAACCCTTCTCGGTTTGTTTGTTATGCCTAGGTAACATGGGTTTTTTCTAACCGACTGGCCTAGATCGTCAAGCACAGTCTGGTATCAGCAAACATCGTTTGCTTAGTATGGTCAACGAGGGACTACACTCCCACTGAATTCATGTTCCACTATATCATTTCATTTTACAAATACTCATAAGGCCTTTAAAGACCACATAAACCCAACAATGTCCATAAACCTTGAAGTATAGAAGTCATAATGAGAACAACAAAGGATGGCCACTAAAAAATCCTACTGCAAAGGGAGGGTATATCTAAGGGAAAGTATGTCATGCATAAGTTAATCTACATATTCAAGGGACTCCACCATCAATTATCAACAAAGGAGGGCTATGTTGTGCGTTGAAGCTCTGAACCCGATAAATTGATTTTTGATATTTTTGTATTGAAAAAGGGAACTCAATGGACTATTTCTTATGCTCAAATATGATGAAATAAACCTCTCATCAGTTGTATATTCTCAGTAAAAACTCCAGAAAAATAAGATCAAGAAATCAACTTGAAACTACTCAAGATCATGAAGTAAGTAAGCTAGTCTATACATACTATGTGTATGTTTGGGACTATCCAAATATCAAGTTTTCATAACCAAAAATGAAGAAAGCTACTATAAATTAAGAATTACAGCAAGCTTTGATAATGGAAATAAGGTAGGAATTAAAAATATGATAAGAAAAATCAATACCTTAATGAAGCAATAGTATGGGCTTGATCACATAAATGATAGAGTACTCCATGGAAGAATTTTAAATGAAAGCTCAAGGAAGAAGATAGTCTCATGGGTGACCACATTTTTGTCAAGAGCTCTTTCTCTTTTTCTCTTTGAAATGAATACTCAAGTTAGGGTTATAATTAATCCTATAAGTTACTTTTATACTTAGATAATAAAAATGGATTTGATCTTGATCGTTGATGCCTTAGATCAATGGCACATGAGATACTTTTATTCAGATCACTTATCCATATCTTATCACCAAGATCAATGAATGAGCTTTTGACACCTTTCACTCCTTAAAACCTAGGTTTATAGTCATTTTACCTTGAAGCTCTTAGCTCCATGTTTTATTTCTCATTAAGTCCAAATTCATGTTTACACTTATGCCCATGAGTTTTGAATAATTTGTGAGAGTCAATAAAATACAAGGACATAGACATAAAGGTAATATAGGATATCCACACATGTGAATAAAATATCTTATGACACCACCAATAGGATTTTAACAACACTATGGGTCAAACCCATAAGGTGATGCCACATAAGATATACTCATATGCTACAAAATCATATGTGGATAATAATATGAATTAAATTAATTCTCAAAATTTCATGACTTCACACATGCCAAAAATGACACATACGAGAAAAATAAATGTGATTTAAATCAAACTTAAGTCATAACAATATATAACACTTTAAATAACAAGATAACATGTTATAACATAATACCAACAAAAGAATTAATGACAAATAGGTCCCCACATATATATGACATCAGCATGATGTCATCCACGAGTGGGGAGGTGGGGGTGCTACGTGGCATCCCTATGGCCACTTGGGATCCATGTGGCATCCCCACAGAATGTCTTTGTTTGGTATTTATGTCAAACAAATTTGAAAATTATAATTTATTGTTTAAAAAAAAAAACTGAAAAAATCTCCAAAAATCCCAAAAATTCTCTAAATAATTTCTCAATATTATTACACAAATTTTCATAAATATAAAATATTTTCTCATCAATTTTAGATTAATATGGGCTAAAAGTAAATGATATCTCTAGACTTATAACACTAGTAGGAGTATTTCATTGGGTTAACCTGAATAACGTTCCACCGGTGTCTCAAGCATACCCAATGGACTTATGCTCCGTAGACTATGGCATGGACATATAATTGGTCATATCAAAGTCACTGAGCTAAAGCTTCCTGTTACCAAGGGTTCAATAAATTACTAATGCACCCCTGTGGGACATGTTCCTACTCAAATACAAGGGTCCTCTCAAAGCACATGCGCACTAGCTCTTCTAAGAAGAGAGTTATTAAAGCATAACAAACTACACATGGATGTTGTAGTGTCCACCTCTGGATGTAAGAAATAGCCATTTGATATCCTTCATTGAAGTCTCAGTCCCACTATTGTGAAAAGGATGCAGTTTCTAAAACGCCTAAGCTTTGTGAAAACAAAGTAAAGCCTCATTTTAATCCTCATCTTGATAGTACTTTGGGCATCAAAAACCTCTATGATGCCTTTAAAATCAATTTTCAATTTTGAAATTTTAAGCCTAAAAAGTGATATAGATCTTGTGGATCTGTGAATACTTATTTTTAGGGTGAAATAAATGGTCTAGATAAAGTTTTACAATATACACTTTTTTTTCGTATTTGAAATCTTTTTTTTTTTTTTAACTATCATAATGGTTAATGCCGAGATAATCGATTTGAAGGTTTTACGACACCAATACTACAATTTTCAATGAGTTTTGAGGTGAAGATTTACTTATTTTGATAGGACTATAGCCCTATCAAAAAAGTTCCTCGTGAGAATCTCTTATTAAAATCCCTAAAGCCTACAGTTATTTCCAAACACCACAAGCTTCCAAATGTCAGAATAGCCAGCTAGCGAGTGTGACTCTCAGTACGAAAAACATCTGGTATGATTGGTTTGTACCACCACCCACCCCATGTCATATTTAATAGCTAGGGGTAATTGTGACATCTTTGTTCATAAGAATTCTTCATACCTTGCCATTATATTTAGGTAAATTGTTTATATATCTCAAAGATCTATTTTCGATCCAAAGTTTTAGAGTTCAATAATCTCAACTACAACAATGATTTGAATTTGGAATTTTTTTTTTTTCAAAAAATATGAATGTCATTTTTTGAATTCCTTTCTTGACCATCTATTTTAACTTTTAGTAGAGGTAACATTTTTGTACATCTCTCTTAGATATTGACATTAGATAAATAATGGACTGCACGAGAATAGGTGAGTCAGTTGACTCACCAAAACCGTGTCCTTATATTTATACTAAGTGATAAAATTTAAGAATAGCAAATAGGCAAGAAAATGTGAGAAACCCAAAGAAGCAAGAAAATATTGCCAAAAATTCTAGATCCCATGGGTTGCATAATAAAAGTTTGAGTTAGGACAGATATGGGGTTTGGGCATCGATAGTTAGGCAGACTGATGTCTCAACATTAAGTCTCACGCTCTCAACATTAAGTCTGACACTAAATACATAAATAAAGTGGTTTAAACGAGAAGTGGTTTTACTTTTCACAACTAGTTTTGTTTTAAGAGAAGTGATTTTTTTTAATTCTATGAGCGGAATATATATATATATATATATATAATAAAACAAAAACTAAAGCAAATCCAATTATGATTTTGCAGCCAGTCTGGAATCCACTGCAAAATACATTTTGAGGACAGCTAAGATGCTTGTCCAATTGTCATCAAGGCCCAAGCCCATATATCCATTTGGAGACATAGGAGATAAAAATAAGAATTGCACGACATGTGTACACTTTCATAATTTGCATAAATAGAAGACCATTTGTTTTATGCCATTTCTAGAAGATTCTTTTCGCGTGTGCCTAAATGTTAGTAAAATGCAGCCAAAAACTCTTTACTCAAAATAGCCCGACTGGAAGGATTTTTTTACTATAAATATAGGAGCATCAACTCCTTGATTTTCAGCGTCTTGAAAATTCTCAAAACTTAGATATGGAAATCACCATTTTCTATAGATGCATCCTCTTCTTACTGGTGGTGAGCTCCTCCGTCTCTCTCTATCTCTGTTTTCATAGTAGTGCCACTTTTTAACGATTAGTAGTATTAAGACAATTTTCAAGTATACTTTTCCTTCAAATTACCACATGGTATTGCTCTACAACACTCTTCAAGCATACTTTTCCTTCCTATTATCACATGGTATGGCTCTCTCCTCTCTCTCCATCTTCGTTAGTAGTGTTTCCTTTTATTATTAATAATGGGTAATTTTCTGTATTTCTCTTGCTATATAAAACTTATATATTTCTCCCTATTCAACTATCCATTTTGAAACGACGGTTGAGATAACTCCAATCACAATGTCATATTTTTAGATTATTTTATTTTTAATTTTTTCTACAAAACATATTCACACAAAATTTTGGGTGTGTACTCCTCTTTTAAACTCGTACATGTAAATCATAAATATTCTTAATAAAATAAAATGATTAAAATTCTTTCAGGAGGTCATTGTATTTTATTGAAAATATTTTTAAAAATGCGTCCCTTTGAGATGATGGTACATACCAAGTTTCATATTTATATAATTTATAAAAAAAAAAACTTAAAAATAAAATACTCTGATTTGTTAGATATAGATCAAATGGTCAATAGCTCACTTCATCTAAATTAGACGGCTAGAAGGGGGGAGAAGTATATATCTTTTATAGAGTAGACGAAGTATAGAAACATTTCCTATTAATAATATGTTGTTTCTCAAGTATACTTTCCTTTCTTATTACTCCATTATTGAACTCCTTTAGTCACTGGAGTCATTAGTTGTTTTGAATTCTAACCAAAGTTGGAAGGACTGCGATAAGCTCAAAACAAGGGCCCAGTCCTTTTATCACATGATGACTGCATGGTTACTCTGGAAAAGCTTGGGCACTATGATCAAATAACACGATATGGTTACCCTGAAAAAGCTTGGGCACTAGGATCAAATAACACGATATTTTTAAAATATAACAGCCGTTACATAATCATTTTTTTTTACTAAGGTTACATAAGAATAGACCTTGAGTGGTTGGGCTGTGAAAACCTAGCCTCTACGATCTCGTTACAAGCTTGTTTCGTACGGCTGTTAAATAATCTTTTCATGTATAGTATACTATCCAAATAATCAGATTTTACAGCAGATGATTCTAAGTAATTGTGGTCTCCATGCACAAAAGTTAAATGGTGTATACAATCCCTTCCCAAAATTATAAGGGACTCCTAGGGCTGTACGAGCATTAACAGTTTAGGAAAACATGAGGATTAAGACATGGAACTTTCGATTTAGGTGAATGTATTGGAATGTTTTTGTTGGATTTTGATGGTCCAAATAATATTTTGTAATCCTCTAGATTGTTGTACCCTTACTGTTGTTCTGATATTCATGCAGCTTGCTTGCCATGGTGATGCAAGGGTTTTGGTGGAGCATGGAAAATATGAGGCAGCATCCACCATGTCCCAGATCTCAAATGATTTCGACAGCAAAGAATCCAATCTGGCAAAAGATCAAAATGTTTCTCAATTGAAATCTTCAAAGGATTTCGACCTTTCGACCAAGGATGTCGACCTCGAGTACAAATTTAGACAAACCGATCCACAATCCCATGACTCCAAACATCAGGGTCCTACGCATATTGTAGGATATGTCCCAGTTTTCCTCCACGAGAGCGATCTGAGACTTGGAAACAAACTCAATAGCTACTACTTGGGTGTTAACATCTCTCAAACCCCCTCCCCTTTACCGCGCCAAGAAGCCGATTCAATCCCCTTCTCATCCAAATCTGTTGCTGATCTCCTACATCACTTCTCAATCAATCCCAATTCTCCTCAAGCTAAACAAGCGAAGAAAACCCTTCAGATATGTGAGGAGCCCCTGGCCAAAGGAGAACATAGGGTATGCGCCACAAGCCTCGAGTCTATGCATGACTTTGTCTCATCAATTTTCGGCCCTAAGGCCAATCTCCAAGTGGTGGCCACTACCATTCATAATAGAGAGATTCATTCCCCTGCTGTCCAATCGTACACTGTAAAAGGAATTATTTTTAGATCGACAACTCCATCGTTGGTTGCCTGTCACGCACTTCCCTACCCCTACACTCTGTATTATTGCCATGAAGTGATCAAAGCGAAAGTATTCAAGGTGATGCTTAAAGGCGAGGATGGAAACAAGGTTGATGCAGCTGTAGTTTGTCACTTAGACACCTCTCATTGGGACCCAAATGATGAGGCTTTTAAGGTACTCAAGAACAAGTCAGGCGAACCTGTTTGCCATTTACTACCAGAGAACAACTTGGTTTGGCTTTCAACACCAGTTTAAGAAACTCTGTAATCCAAATCAAGCAGAGCATGTTGCTTGATGAACAGTTCGGATGCCATGTTGTTTTCAACTTTGTAATAAGGCATTCATCAATCTCAATAATGGACCCTTTTTGACTCATGTTCTTGGAAAAGATATTTTATGGTAGATAGGATTGTTTCTTTCTTCATAAACTTGAACCATTCTTTAAGAAATCGGTTGACCCGCCGAGGCGAGTACAAGTGCACAAGATCAAGGGTGAGGTTCTTCTACGGTACTCGTCGAGTACTGTTATGACTCACCCAGGAATTATATAACTCGGGAATCAGTACCTGAGCAAGCTACTATAGTACCCACCCAAGTACTGATGTAAAAACAACCATCAGAAAATTAAAGGAGGAGAATCCACCCCTCTCATTTCTCAGAAACCCTCTTTCTACATCTGGCTATGCACATTAAAACCCTAGATTCTCTGTGTAAGTCCTTTCAAAACCCTCTCACTATATCCATTT